TCTTCACCACCATCTCCTCTTCCAACCACCCAGCACAGAAATTGATGTGTTCAGCAGGCTCAGCAAACCCCCAGCAGCTCCAGGCTGGCTCAGAAAGTGTGATGACCACAACGCTCATGGGAACCCAACACCTCTTACTCCTCATGGACAAAACACCAGGCCTTTCCAGAAGTACTGGTTAGGTTTAAATGGTACAAAAATTAATCTTACCTATTCTTATCACAAAAGGATACCAGTTATCAATAAGAAAAATCATTACAATTGCTCAGGCTACTGATTTGGGATATTGAACAACTAACAAAATACTGGAAAATGTATTTAATTTACTTTTCATCCAGTCAAAAACAAAACTTACATAAACTTCATGGCAATCTAAGACAATGTTGATAGAAATAATACTTGATTATTTTGCATTTACTGCCACTACTGAACTGAGCAAAGTCACTGCCTTATGCCCAGAACCTGCTAGAAGGACAAAAGAGCTTCTGACCATCCAAGACTCCATGAGAAAAGAGAATATTCTCTAGGTTTAAATCCTGTAGGATTACACTAATCTGAAAAATCCAGTCACATTTCATTTTCCATTAGGCCACATTTCCTTTTCTTCAATAAATCTGTCCAGGATTTTTAAATATTACATTTTTAAATTTTCAATATTATTGAATATGTTAAAAAACTACATCATAATTTTAAGTTAATTCCATTTAAATCCACAGTTGTCAAACAAGAGAAAGAACCATGGAGAGTCTTATGTACTTGCCCCTCTCTTTCACCTAAATGTGAACATGAAGAATCTCAAACACAAGCAACTCTACTTCATATACATGCACAGTTTCAGCTCAATTCCCATAACATTCTCATCCAATGCTGGGCAACCAGTGAGTTAAAATTAGACATTTTTTTAATGTCCTGATTTGAAACCCTTTGTTTTAAATCAATCTGTCACTGGCTGTCAGAACTTTAAAGAGCAGTAATGCAAAACCAGTATTTTACCAGACAACAGATCCTTAAGTGGAAATTAAAACACACTGGAAGTGTGAATGGCCTGTGCTGCTGCAGCCTCTTTCCTGTGATGGAAATTCTCTATTCTGCCTTTACAGTTTGCTCAATAAACTATAATTTAGTTACAGTATAAACAAGGTTAAATGTTGCTGTCCATAGGCCAAGGGAGAAGTTTAACAGAGTCTTCAAATGGGATGGGTTTTTTTCACATTTATTTCCTGTCTCTTGGCCAGGCACCAAGCTTTCATATTCACAGCAGCATAAAAAGCAACCAAAACAACAACAACAACAACAACAACAAAATCCTGCTGAGACTATGAAAGTGTCATTTTTAGCAGCAGGACTCCATAAATCGTGGTGATGTTCTCACCTCCAGGTTTCTCCTGGCTCTGGGCCACTGCTTGCCCCTGCAGTGGGCTCCAGCTGCTTTGTGCATACAGGTCACAGGGTCAGCTTTATTATCCACAGTGCCCTGGTCTGCTTTTATCACAGGAAACATCTTCAGTGAGGATTAAGATGCCAAAGTTCAGCTATCCCCCTACTCCCCCACTTTCACCCCTGTCCTTGGCTGCCCCTCGGGACGAGTGACACCACAGTGGATGTGGATGATGAGCTGCATGTCCAGGAAAAACCTGGGTTTCTCCTTGTTCTGGACACCTGCAAGGCCCTTGAGTCCACCAGGCTCAGGCCATGGGAGAAACAGAGGTGGCTCAGCAAGATAATCCAGTCCTGAGGAATAAACAAAGTTATCTGGCAGGTAAAACATAGCCCTCGTTTGGCCTCATTAGGACCAGCAGAGTTCAAAGTGGTGGCAGCTCCTGGTGTTGTGCCAGACACACAAACAAAAATATGAAATACAGAACTACCCCAGAACACATTATTATTATTATTATTATTATTATTATTATTATTATTATTATTATTATTATTATGATGTTAAAAGAGAAAATTAGTAAAGCCTTCAGGACTAACATAATTCAAGGTTAGGAACAGCCCCTCCACTTCCAGCTGCAAAGGTGCTGTTCCCCATCCCAGTGGACACACGTACGAGTGCTGGAGGGGTTTGGCATCAAAAGAGTTTGTGCTGGAAAACAGGATGGAAAGAGGAACTGCTCTTGAGAGCATCTGCTGGTTCTCAGCTAACAACAGTAAACTATAATTCTGCTTTTTAAAACACGATATGTTTCACCTTCCTATTTCACAGGCTTAATTCCCTCCATTATAAAGTAAATTAAATCTGAAACCCTCTATTTAAACAACGTTCTGGGGGAAAAAAAAGTGACACCCTTAAGTTCCCATTGCTGTTGCAAACTGTTGCTGCCAAAACAGGGGAAGCAAAACAGAGCAGAGAAAGAAAGAGCTCTGTACTGCCACTGATATCACAAATCGAAATGATTTTAAATTACTCACAGAACATCCTCCTCCTCTGAAAGATTTAGTAGCAAAGCTGCAAAGAGTGCCTATACACTAAGAAGTCTTTATTAAAAATCCAGAATATGTTATGTGGTATTTATTGCCTTCCTAGAGCACATTATCATAAGCACTTGCACACCAACATATAATTTAAATCAATAGCAAACTTCTCACTGATATCTTTGAAAGCAGCTTATACCCTCACTTGCTAAAAGCACTCATCTGCAGCAAGTGCTTCTGTTATTTATTAGAATTAATAAAATCCTGCTGTATTATGTTAAAATGTACATCCTGCAAGTCCTTAAGGACTGTTGTAATAATGGCAATCAGGAGAGGTGATCAGGGAGCCTCATCAGAAAAGGGTGAACCACTCCAAAAGGAAGAAGAGATGTGGCTAAATAGTAAAAGGCAAAGCCAAGAACAAGAAGGAGACATTCAACAGAGTGGTCAAAGGCAGGTGGAGTGACAGGACAGGACAGAAGCATCAAAATTAAGGACTAACAGAGGCAAGAGCAGAAGCCAGTCCTCTGGAAGAGACCAGAGCTCTAGCAATGAGGTCACCAATCATTTAACAGCCTGGTCTGTTAAAACAATTCAGTATCATAAAAGGAGTGTTAGCTTTATGGTATTTCATTTTCAAATAGTAAACATTTTTCTTGATTTGATAACATTGAGATTTGCTTTCTTGTGTCACACTTATCAAAACTAAGGAAAAATTAAAAAGATTGCTGTGGTGTGACTATTTTTATACCCTCATTTGCTAAAAGCAATTTTTAATTTTTAATATTTTAATTTTTAAAATTTGTTCAGTGAACCAGAAAATATTGTTGCCCAGTTCTTAGTGTTTTGAAGGTAAACCTGCACTGCAACTGAGGAAATCAGGGAGCACATAGTGCTACTGCTGCTAAACACGTGAAAAATAAGTAAAATAATAGCAATTTTGCAAAAATAGCAAAAATGTGTTTGCTTCATGTCATTTAAAGCTGAATTTCACCCAGAAAATCCTCTGTGGGATTGCACTTCCAATCCTTTCGTGACATTTTGCCTTATTGAGTAATTTTGGGCACATTTGAGAGGCAGAGATCTCAACAGTAAGGAGTTTGCAACAACAAACAGGGAAGGATGTGACACAGAATCAGATAATCCACAGGGTGTGAGTGAAGGTCATAGGAAAAGTGGTTTCCAAGTTCAGCTGAATGACCTCATTCGGTGTCATTTATTGTAACACCAGTGAGGGGGCAGGTAAATCACCTGGTCCTTTGGTCCCTCAGAGATGTTCCCCCTATGAGATCACACTCAGTTTTGGCCCCCAAACTGGGCAGCTTGCCAGTCCCCAGTGCCAGGCACTCCCAGTGCCAATAATCAGCCTGTTCTGTGAGCAGCACAGACACATAATTAGACTTATCTCGTTTGTACTGAGATATCCAGGCTGCTGAACAAAAGACTTTCTCCTCCTTCTCTTTGTTGCTTTCCTGTGCTGTTGCCACCAGAGGCTGCATTTTAGGGCATTGTAGTCAAGATGGTCCAAAGCTATGAAACAAGAAAAATTCGTAAGAAAAGGCAATAACTTTTATTCTATTTCTTAGTGCAGAAAAGGGTTGATAGAGAAAAAGCATCCAAGCACTGTGCTCCCAGTCTGTTCATCAAGACATTATCAGCATCATTATTCAACAGGACACTTGCCTCTGGAGCTAAAATAACAAATGTTATTTAATATTTGCCTTGCAGTACAGATCAGTCGAGATTAGGAAACTCCATTTTGTTACTTTTGAGCCCTAAGAGTTGGAGTTATTTGACGTCAGGAAGTTTTTTCTTCCACCATCTTTCAAGGCCGCTCCTGGTGCCCTCGGAGGGTTAGAACTGGCCTCGCTCTGCTTTGTTTTAACACATTAAGCGTATTTTAACTGTGCTAAAAGCTGTCAAAGTCTTTGCAAGATCTCTGAGCTAATACACAGAGTATATAAAAAGACTCTTTCCCACTCTGACTTGCTGCAACACTGCAAACAACCCGGACCCAGAGCACTGGCTGTTCCTGGCGGGCTCTCTCCCTCGCCTCCCCGCTCGCTGTTGTTGCAGCACCCAGGGGTGAAGCCCATTGTGCCGGGATTAGCCTCCCACATGACAACCCTGCAATCACAATAAGTGCTCCAGAGCCTCCTATTCACGGCAGCAGGAGCGATAAAGGTCAGGCTCAGCGTGCTCTTTCCCAATTATTCTCCAGCCCGGCCCAGTCGGAGCAGACAAGAGCAAACACGCTGGGACTTCACAGGCTACTGGAGTGCAAAAGCTGCTCAGCTTCTCTTCAACATCTTTTGGCTTAATCATCGTGGCTTTGAAGAGTTTGGATGATTTTTTAAATGTCTTTTCTCAGGGTTATTGAACCACCTGGAGTGGGACAAGCAGACCGCAAAGGCAGCCAGAGAGCCCAGAGCTGAACTTTTAAACCGAAGAGCTGCGAAATTCTAATCCTGGAGCAAGGAAGAATGGATTTCCTCAGGTTTAGGGAGCCAGAATGATCCATCAGTACATAAAGGACTCTTTCTACTACTAATGTGTTTTTGCTGGGAATAATTTATGCAAGAAAAATGGAGTTTTTAACCTTTTCTCCAGAAAATCACTGCTTTTCAGAATTACTTGACAGCAGCGATGGTGATGAAGAGGAAATACTCATATGTGGAGAAGATTTAGAGCTTAATCCTTTTGATGGCTTGCCTTACTCCTCCCGTTATTATAAACTTCTGAAAGAGAGAGAAGAGCTTCCAATATGGAAAGAGAAATACACTTTCATGGAAAGTTTGCTTCATAATCAAATTGTGATGGTGGCAGGAGATGCTAAGACTGGCAAGAGCTCCCAGGTCAGTAAAACAAACTTGGTTGGGGTTTTTTTTTTAATTATTTTTAGAACATTTAATGTTGTCCACTTTTCTTTTGCTGTAACTATTTCACTAATATTATATATTAAAAATAATTTTGCAATGATTCAGGATACACAGCTGTTGCCCTGTATTGGGCACACCAATATCCAAATTTACATTTTCCTTGTATTTGTTATGCTGGGAACTGTCTGGTATTGCAGAATAAAAACACCCAGTTCTGAAGAGATGCAACACACGCAGTTGTGTTGAATTTAGCAGTTCTCAGTGCAGAAACAGATGTGCAGCCAGCTATTGTAATCTGAGGTATTAAGGCCAGAGAGGGAAAGTGAAATACAGGAGGTGAGTAAACATTAATGCAGTCAAATACAGATCTAAAATATATCAGACATTTAAATAACTTTCTTTAAATAGTCACAAAAAATTGGTACTTTGTGTTTGCCTGTTCCAAGCCAGTTTTACTTGGTTGATGGTGGTTTTAGGGTTCAGGGTAAGCCAAGCTCAAGAGTAACACTTCTCAGATCGTCATTGTCTGACACTCATAAACAACTAATAAAAATCACAAGCTGCAACTTTTCTGTATTAAATACTAAATTTAAAAATATCCAGCCCTTTCTGAACACTGCAGACCACACACATGAACTGCTGCAGTACAAAATTAAGAACCAAATATACACCCAGCCTTAGAAAAACTCTGTATAAAACATTACTGTACCTACCAATATGTGCACTGTTCATTTCTGGGGTTTTTTTATACCCCAATTTAACATCTCAACATGAAACCCTTCCAAATGTACACTTTTAAATGTATTACAGAATGTATCAGCTGAAATCTTTCCTTCCTGATATTACAGGTGTATTTCCACAATCTGCACATCAACCAAGGCTAAGTGGAAAATACTGTAGGACTTACCTCAGGTTTAGTATTTTAACAGTAAATAATTCCTTCTACATTTGGCTGGCCATTCTTTTGTTAATTTCGGGAATTTTATTACCTTCTCCTTAATTATGACTAAACTTGCCTTTTTTTTTTGTTTCTTTTTGTCCATCACCAGTGGAAATGGTAAACTCTGCAATGCCTGTTTTGGATTCAGTGCATATTCTTACTTGGAAAGTGTGTTTTGGTTCTGATTAGTGCTACACAAGGAAAGAAATACAGTGAATTTGCTGCCAGGGCATAAGTGAAGGTGATAAAAGTACTCAGGGAATGAAGGATTGAAATCAGCAGGGCTGTTTCTCGGGGAGAATTAATGGGGTTTCCCTCCCTTCAGCCAGGAGTCAATGCTTTTTTCCAGAACACAAAATTACTTTACAGAACTCATGAGAAGACATCACTGAAGCCAAGATGCCAGTTCTAAGCACACAAACATCAACCAGGCCTATCAAACTCTGCTGTAACAATGTATAACAATCTCAGTCTGTTGCCACAGTAAACAGAGAATTTTCAAGCAAGTGTTTGAAGCCAAAATATTATTGTTTATGACTGGGGACAGGAGAAAACTTCCCTGCAGTTAAAGCTGTAGGATAATTGCTGTTGAAGGCATCTCATACCTGCCAGAGACTTCCATGCTGGACATCACATATTGAACTAGAGACACCACACTTCCCACTCAGAATTCCTACATTCCTATAAAAGTGACACACAACGCATTCCTGGTGCCTGGAATGATTTTTAGAGAGCAGTCTTTCTTGTTACTGACTGTAATTTATACACAGTAAAATTTGTATAATAATAAACTACTTGGTAAGAAGTGTTAGCTTTTAAATTGTCCTTAAACAAGCTTAATAAGATGTAATACATTTCTGGCTGGTTTTTAAACATTTTTAGAAAAAAACAGAATTTAGAAATAACTACACAGAATAAATTATTTATGGCTGATGCACCTGATTTTGTATGTTGATTAAGTAAAGGATTTGAAATCTAATACTTTCACTAAAATAATATTTACAAAGCAATTGTACTTTCTCGTGACTTTAACACATGAATATTTTCCAGTGTCGATTTTATGTAAATCTATAAATGAGAGAGCTGCTGTGCAAGCTTCTGGAGCAGTTCAAGTTTCAGTGATCTCTGTTTGTGGAGTAATTCACCTGAAATTACACACATTCACTGTGGCACTTGTCAGTTTGAAGTCCTGTTCATCCTGGTACATGTTCCCATGGATGTGTGATATAACACGAACAGGTTCACTGCTGTCAGCAGCCCCTGACAACAACTGCTCTAACCACGCTGGATCCATCAGCAGGTGCTCATTACGACACTGCTGGTGCCACCTCCTCCCCAGGGGCAAAAATCTGCCCCTTCTGCAATATATTCAAACTAATCTGAGTCCAGCTGAGGAATTCCCAGGTAAACCTTCTCATTGCTGCTGAACACTTACGAGGTCCCAAGCGCTGACATTCATCAGCGCAGATGATTTCCGAGCCAGCGCAGCGGGTGCTCCCACTGATTTAGTTGTTCTACGCTGTCAGCTTTTGAATTACAGCCTGTGTTAAACACGTTAAACACTAAATCCTGTCTTTGTTTTCCTTATTTTCCTGCAGATCCCTCAGTGGTGTGCCGAGCACTGCCTGTCTGCCCGCTACCAGCACGGCGTGGTGGTGTGCACGCAGGCGCACGGGCAGACGGCGGTGAGGCTGGCCCTGCGCGTGGCTGATGAGATGGACGTCAACCTTGGCCATGAAGTGGGGTATTTCATCCCCTTTGAAAGCTGCTGCACGCCAGAAACTATCCTGAGGTCGGTGAGCGTGGGTTTTAAGGCCTTCAGGCTCACCTTGAATACTGCATATGCAGTTTTGGGCGCTCCAACACAAGGGAGATCTGAAGGCATTGGGGAGTGTCCAAAGGAGGGCAGTGAAGATGGGGAAGGGCCTTGATTTGAAGCTGTGTGAGGACACTGAGGGCACTTGGTGTGTTCAGCTGGAGAAGAGGAGACTGAGGGGAGACCTCCCTGCAGTTCCAACTGCCTGGGCAGGGGCAGAGGAGGGGCAGGACTGAGCTCTGCTCTGTGGGGACCAGGGACAGCACCCAGGGAATGGCTGGAGCTGTGTCAGGGCAGGGTTAGGTTGGATCTCTCAGGGAAAGATTCTTCCCCCAGAGGGTGGTTGAGCACTGAACAGGCTCCCCAGGGCAGTGGGCACAGCCCCAAGGCTGACAGAGCTCCAGGAGGGTTTGGATGATGCTCTCAGGCACAGGGTGTGACTCTTGGGAATGGTCCTGTGCAGGGCTAAGGGTTGGACTGGATGATCCTTGTGGGTCCCTTCCAACTCAGCCTATTCTGTGACTCTGTGATTAATGTGTAGCTCACAGCTCTGTGCAAGTGCAAAAGTTTGCAGCTGAAGCACTGGAGTTCTTAGCTCTCGAAAACAAAGAAACCCAACACTGCTTTATTCAGCTGTGTATAATATTTTAAAATGCAGATTTGTGATTAATCAAGAAGCAGTGAAGGGTTTGACGGTGCTAAAAATCATAGTAGAGATTTAAGTGGGAACACTTCATTAAGCACCTCAGTGACTTCCTTTTTTTTCCTCTACTTTTTTCTCCTCTATGTTGCAGGACAGGAATATTCATTATCATAAGAGAACATGGGATAATCTGTCTCAAAGTAGAGATGGAATTCAAAAGCCATCCACAATCATGCCTAGAAGAGGGTGCATTCAGTAACAAGAGAAAAAAGTATTTAGGAGGATTTTTAAGAGATAAAAAATGCACTTCCTGTATTAACTATAGACAGGTGACAGCAGCAACAGAGGGATTCAGCTTTTGAGCCTCCCAGAAAGTTAGGAGAGTTATTTTCTCTAGTTCCTTAATATGGCAGGCACAAAACTAGCTCACAAGCCTTCTTCCCAGCCACTGATTTCCAGTGGAGAAGAGGATACTCACCCCTCCTGAAAATCAATTTCAGCCACTCTGCCTTTCTGCACATCCTTTCTCTTTCCATGGAGAACGCTGTAAACCTCATCCTGCAGCACAACTTCCTGCAGCTGCTCCAGCTGTGAAAGGGAGATGAATCCTGTCCTCTCACACCTCGAAACCTGCTTCAAAAATTCAAAGTCCTGCTGAGCAACACAACAACAAAAAAAAACAACATCCTTTAAAAAGACTTTCAGGAGCAGGAATAACGGGGACAAAAGTGAGGGTATGAATTAATCTCTCATCTTGGTTCTGGCACTGCCTCAAGTGCTGCTCCCTCTTTTCCTCATCTAAAAGTGTGAGTTCCAAGCTCAGGAATTGTTTGTGGTGTGTAATATGCTTAGATAGTTTGGAAGATAAAAGGGAATATAGGTTATGATTTTAGGGCAGAAGTATATTTTTTTTGCCTGGAGCATCCTTTCAACCCCAGTGCCACCGAGTGTCACTGAACCACACCGAGTGTGCAGCTACTTAAAGCAGGATTTAAGCTGAGACTGTGTCTCAGGAAATCTTTCTTTGTTAGAACAGAAAGAACCAAGCAGTCCCCAAGACCCCGGCTGAATATTCCAAGCAGCTCTGCAGAGCGCTCTGTTGCTGTGTTGCAGGTACTGCACAGACGAAATGCTGCAGAGGGAGATGATGTCGGCGCCCCTGCTGAGCTATTACGGGGTCATTATCCTGGACGATGTGCACGAAAGGACTCTTGCGACGGATGCGCTGCTTGGCCTTCTCAAAGCTGTGCTGATGGCCAGGCCAGAGCTCAGGTTGGTGGTCCTCACTGCCCCCCACTCGTGCAGTGCTCTGCAGGATTACTGTGGCGGCGTTCCCGTGATCCGGGTGGAAATGAAGCACCGCGCCGAGGTCGTGTATTCCTGCTCCACCCACACGGACCCCTTCGGGGCCGCCCTGAGGCTGCTCCTCGAGATCCACCATGCCAAGGAGAAGGGGGATATCGTGGTCTTCCTGGCGTGTGAGCAGGTAAAGGCCTGTGAAGCTGTTTAATCAAGAAGTTATTCGCATTTGCGTTTTTAGGTGGCCTATAAATATCTTACTACCAATGCCCCAGGCCTTTACAGTATTGGTATCTTCTTAAATATGATAATTAAGGTAAAGTGGGGAGTTTTCTGAGTACTTTGGTCATTTTATATATGGTAATTGGAGGAAGAACATAATGGTTTCATGAGGAAAAATGCATTTCTCTCGATTGCAGGAAATTGCGAAAGCTTATCAAATGATCAGACAGGAGCAGCCCAATTTAAACCCTGACCTTGGCGAGCTCATCCCCATCCCTTTATACCCCACAAAACACGACCCAGTTCCCAGACCAACGCCAGACAAACAGAAATGCTGCAAAAAATACAGGAGGAAAGTGCTGCTCACCACCAGCTTTGGAGAGTCTTTGATTTGGATTAAAAACGTGACCTTTGTCATCGATGTCGGTGTTGAAAGAAGAAAGGTCAGTAAAGTTAAGCAGGGTCTGTCACAGAGGAACTGTGCAGAGGGGCTTTTCCAGGGTGGGGGAAAGGGAAATGTGCAGCTCAGTTTGATGCAAATGGTTACTAAAGGAATCACATATTTTTCTTTTCTGTCATAAATCAGGTTCTGTCATATTTTTAAGGTAAAAATTAACAAAATCTGAATAACTTTCATGGAGAGCTCACGTGAAAACCAAGCAAGAAGTCACAATCACTTCCTAAACTCAGTAAGAACCCAAATTTCAAGTTTTTAAAGCCAGATTAACACTCCCAGATGAAACTGCCACTCATTTGGGCACCAAACCAATGACTGGTCATGTATCTCACTTTAGTTTCGGTCCTGACTATCTCTTCAGTATCTTATAGATAAAGCAAAATACAGTCAGTTCTTGGGCACCTGCAGATTTCCTGATTTGGTAGATCAACCTCATTCCTCATTTAATGAGTTAATAATCCACGTAGTGCCATAACCAAGGGATGCTCACACAGAGAAACTCTCCTTTTTAAAGCTGCCTGTGCTCCTTCTGGATATGTGTTACCATCCAAACCCCTCAAAATGCTGCAATTTATCTAATTAACCTTTGAAATTCTACAGTTTATTCTAAATATGTCCTCAGTTCTTGTTTCCCACCCAGGGAAGGACTAGTGCAGCTGCAAAAAATATCTCATTTCTTTCATTCATACAAAACTGATGAACTAAAGAAGGAGTAACTATGTAGGAACGTGTCATTACACATGAGTTTGAAAGCTGCACTACTACAGGCTTTGCAACTGTCCCACATGTCCTACTAGACAAAATACATATTCCAGTAATAGTCAAAAGAAACAATAATACAAGGTGGAATACAATAATAATACAAGGTGGAATAACCAAAATTGAAGTCAAGTGTCCCTAAAATTTTGGAGCAGGGTCATCAATCCTGATTAGCCCTGAAAACAGTTCAGGGAGAAGCCTGTGAACTACCAGGGCTTTTCATTTTCATTGCAAACACCTGTCATTTTTAAAGGTTCTCATAGGAGGGTTACAAACCAAGTCAGTCTCAAGCCAAGCTAAAAAAAAGTCCTTTATGGTGTGCAAGGTAGAAGAGTCTAAAAGCAGTTTTCAATTAGACCATGATAGGTCAACTTATTTCTAAAACTACTGTGTTTTTGGGTGGCAAAAATTAATCTCATTTCCATGATAACCTGCAGCCCAAGGTACAGTTCAGTGCTTCCAGACTTCTGTGAATCTAAAATATGAAGCCATGGGAACAAACCAGTTCCAACAGTCCTGATAGCCACCAAAACACCTCTGTTGGTTATGCCATTTTTACCTTTAATTCAATTATTTTGTCCTAACAGCCAAAGTTTAGTCCTGTAAGATTCATCCCTCAGCAATTCAAACACATCCAACCTGTGTGGCTGAAAGTCAGAGGAATATTGAGGGAGCAGGGGAAGTTTTGTGCAAACCAAAATATCCCACCTATAATGATGTATCCCAGTCTTAACAGCTGGGAGATATCATAAATTTGCCTGGAGGAAAAGAAATTTGCCTCTTTCACTGAAGGATATTTTATCTTTTTGTATTTTTATTTTTTAGTTAAAACGCAGCTTATAGTGGGCAAAGTTATTTCAGATGTCATGATAAAAGAGCTGCCTTATCCCAACAGCCCTTTTATGTCTTGTACACTGTGGGGATTATGGACACCATTGGTGGCCAGAACAGTGAGTGAATCAGTTCCTCAGCTTAATCAAAATAAAGCATAATTAAGAAAAAAAAATGAAACAGGGCATTGTACATCTTTAACACAACTGTTGTCTCCTGTACTGAATTGTCAGATTTCAGTGTAAAGACAAAAATCTGGAGTTATGGAACAAAATGTTATTAGACTGTTATTGGAAGAAATAAATACCTTTTTTGATGGTTTTCTTGATGACACCATTTTCTGCTTTAGTAAGGTGCATTTCTTCAGAAAAAAAGACATTTATCTTGAAGCACACTTGGAGTTACTGCAAAACTCTCATTTTGTCAGTGCTTACTGCTCTCATTTCCAAGCTGGTGACATAAAAAGAAATGAAACTGTTACGAGACTTTCTGTAAAATGACCTAGAGAAGAATTCAATACAGACCATTAATATCTTTGTAGCCTTCTTGTACCTATCTGATGCTTAATATCTCTTTCATTTAAAGGTGTACAATCCTAGAATCAGAGCAGACTCTGTTCTAACCCAGCCTATCAGCAAAAGTCAAGCAGAGATGCATAAACAAATTCTGGGCATGTCTCCATCAGGTAGAATTATCAGCTCAACATTTACATCCATTAGCTCAAATTATTAATAGAATTAATCTGCAATGCGAGAAAAAAAAAATTAAAAAAAGGTAATTTTTCCTGAAATCTCTTTTAGGAAAACTCTTCTGTTTGTATCCTGAGGAATTTGCAGACAAAGAAATGAAAGCACATGTCCCAGCCAAAGTGCAGGAATCCAACCTAACCAGCCTGGTTCTCTTCCTGAAGAGGATGGACATTGCTGGCTTTGCACACTGTGACTTCATAAGCAGCCCAGGTAAGGGGGATGCTCCAATATTTCACCTTTTTATTATTATTTTTGAAGCTATTTAAACATTAGTTTTGCCCTGTTACTCACAGTATTGTTCTTTATTAAAGTACTTGTAATAATATTGCTCTGCTTTTACCACTTACCTGCTGCAACAGCTCCCAATTCAAGAGCTGCACTTTAAAAAAAAAAAAACCACAAAGTGTCTGAATGGAATTAGAATGGAAAAAAAAAATCAATATTCCAAATATCTTCTCATCTAAGTCTCATATTATTTTCCTGGAGCCCACAAAGAAAATGTGTGTCCCATTGTACAGACATCCAATAAAACAGATCCCTTTAATCAAAAGTTTACAACCCAAATAAAGCACTGCTGTTACCTGGGGATCTATGTGGAGGAAATGAGCTTCCTTCTTATCCTCCAGCATCTCCCACCTCAAATTTACAGTGAGCTGTTACTTAAGGACAGTATTCTTTATAAAACAAACCCAAACAAACTTTCACTGCTAGATGGGGAATACACTGAATTTTGAGGTAAGTGTGTGAAGGAAGTTGGTTTTTTTCCCTGACTTCATAATTTAGGACTTTTTCTATAGAAGAATTTTCTCTGTTCTGGCCCATCACAAAACCCAGCAAATCCTGCTGTTGATTTGAAACCCATTAAAGTGAAGGAAATAGCACTGATTTCATCGTTTTGGGGTGGACGATGGTTTTATTTCAGATAAATTTCCAGTCCAAATAGAAAGAATTCTTACATTACCCTGCCTTTCCTCCTGGACACGCATGAATTTGAAAAGATCACTTGTCTTCTACATGCTGTGCACTGCAGTTAATCAGTAACACACAGTTTAATTCCCACTGTTGGATGTTGCAATAGATTGGAAGGAGGATTTTTAAGAACAATTTATTCAACTTTTCTCTTGTTTGCCTGTTTAGCAAAAACATGCCTAAAAGACATATGAGAAAACATTGCCAGTCTGAGCAAAGGCTGATGAGAATCAAAGTATTTTGTCCTTATGGTGAGTGTATTTTGTTCTTATGGTGAGTGTCACCTCCTGTGTTGAACCTAGGACATCTGCATGGAAAATGCTTATGGAATACAGCTGTTTTCCACCCAAATTTTAAATATATTTTACTACAAAAATATACTAAAACATGTAAGTTTCTTCTTTGCTGGATATGAAGAAAGTTGTTCTCGAACTGTAGAAGGAATTAGTAAAATTACACCGGGAAAAGCATTCCCATTTTGGGATTTAAAGGCAGGGTGGAGAAGGCATTCAGAGAAAATGAAAGGCTAGAGAGGCATTTCAGGATTTCACAGATGGAGGGGTTTTAAGTTTTGGCTGTATTTGGGATAATGCAGCTGAAGAAAAGCATTGTGCTGATGAGTACAAATCATGAAGGCATTTGGTGAATGCATCAGCTTTACTTGGATGGGTGTTAAATGTGAAAACGTTTGTGCTAACTGGTTCAAAAGTGTGAGGTCGAGTATTGAATAGTTTTAGGCATTATTGAAACAGTGTGAGGAATGTCAGACAAACTGTCTGAACAAAGGAAAAAAATCCCACAAACTCTGTAGGGGTCCCCTGAAAGGAGATGAGAAAGTCTGCACCATTTCCTGATCTCCTTCCCATCTTAGGCCACACACAATTAAACATTTGAGCCAGAGTTTTAGTGGTCTGCTACAGCTCTTCATTTATCCCAGGATGGGCCACACTTTGGCTTTCTCTCCACTTTGGAGCAGGCAATGAACTTTTCTCCTACTGGTGCTTAAACTGATTCCCCACCACAATCCTCCTGAGATTGTAAACCTCAGGTGATCAGAACAACGGCCTGAAGGACCTGCAGTGAAACACATTTGTCTGAAAGGAACAGGGATACTGAAGGGAGGAATTTGGGAGGGGAGTCAGTTATTGTATTAGACCAACTTACAGAGCTCAAAACACACAGCAGGCTTTCAAGCACCCAAAACCCAGAACGGTTTGGGTTGGAAGGGACCTGAAAGATCATCCAATTCCAACCCTATGCCATGGGCAGGGACACCTTTCACCATCCCAGGTTGTTCCAAGCCCTGTCCAACCTGGCCTTGGACACTTCCAGGGATGGGATTTGGGTCCTTTATCTTCCCAAGAGTTTTGGGTCAGTGATCCCAGCTCATGAAAGCCCAAGTTTTCTCATTCTGTGCTGAGATAGACCCAACCAGCCACAGATACTCAATGCCACACTGATCTCCAGTGGTTAAAGAGGCACAAAATCCAGCAGAATTATATAAATAGATATATATAAATGCATAAAATAGACTGACCCTAAAATCACACCTCAGAGCCCCTGCTGGCCAGGTTGGAAGGGATCTTAAACATCATCTAGTTTCAATTCCCTGCCATGGGTTTGACTATTCCATGTCTCTTCACCTCCTTGGACTTGATTTCCCTTGGAGTAAAGGCAGTAAAGACACTGCAACATCTCCCACGTGCCACATGTGCAACAGGGTTTCCTCTGGACCCTTTCTGTCCAGCTCACATTCTCACCTTTCCTTTGCAAAGAAACAGATGGAAGCTTGTGTTTGTTTTTTTTGTTTAATCCATGCTGAATTCCCCCTAAACAAAATACTGTTTTCACTGAGATGAGTCAGGTATGGACAGGAACTGGTGAATAAACTAATGAAAAGTACACTGAAATTCATAGCAAGAATCCCAAGTACTTCACAGTCCATTTCCTGCACATGAAGGAGAGAACATACAGCAGATAAGAAGCAAAAATTACATCAGTAAAACATTTTATTTCTGCTCAGCAACAATGTGCACGAGGAGTTGTTGTTTTTTTTTTTCCACTGCTCTTTGAGGAAAAATAAAAGCCTGGATTAACTCTGACTCATTACTGCATTATGAAAGCAACAAACATGTCAGGCTTACAGCTGCTGCATTTAATTCATGCCATAATCGAGAGCAGCTAATGCAGCTTGTTACCCTTTTTAGGATTCATGAGCCATATAAAAATGTATCTGGCACTGCAGCTCCGAAGTGCATTACTGGAATTCCTGTGCCACTACAACGAGGATGTGTTTACATTTCCGTCAGTTAATCAGATAGATTTTACTTTGTTTTATAACGGGACAAAAGAATTCCAGTCCCATGGATTGCAGCAATGTTATGTATTTTTGTAAATCACTGGAATATCCTTATTTAAACTGTGCAAATCAGTATAAAGATGAAGCTGTGTAAAATTTCTGTAAGAAATCAAGGTGGAAGCAGTTTGCAGATTCTGCATTCATTCACAATTACCATAAACAATTTGCAGAATAAAGTATTTGTTGATGGCCACGGAGACCATGAAATTTGACAGCTGTGCTATTACAACCCCACCAAGAATACATTTCTAGAAAATCCATAAGAACAAAAGTGGCATAAATGTGTATAATTTCAAATTATTCCAGGAAAGAAAACTGTTTGCTTATTTTTTTCAGTAGAAACAGACTGTCAAAGACAGAAACTCAATGTACCATGTAAGTTCTGCTCCACAGAGATCACAGGGACCATGCCCAGCCTCCCCGGAGTGATGAAGCAGCGTAAGGGGGAGTGGAAAGGCAGCAAAGTATGAGTTTGGAAAAGCAATGCTTAATGACCAACTATAATTTCAAAATAATAGTTATGGAACTGGTGGCTTCTGAGCAAGGCAGACTCATGAAAAATCCTCCCTCAGTCAGAGGGGAAAAAAAGGAATCAGGATGGAACCTGCACACAGAAGCCTGTGCTTGGAGAAGAAAAGCCTTTGCCTGATTTGAGGAAAACTTGGCACTAGATTTCTGCACATCTTCAGTTTGCTATCCGAGGAGCAACGTTAAAAACCAGTAGCAGCATTCCCCAGAACAGGAATTACTTAAACAGTTCTTCCTGTTGCTCAGCCCAACAAGGAGCTGGAAAACTTGAGGTTTGCCAGGCAGTGAATCAGCTCTTTAAAGACAACATCCCTTCACCTGACACTCATGTCAGCTCTAACTTTATAATGAAGTTATTTCCATGGAAAGAAAAGATCTACCAAGGAAAAGATGTTTTACTTACTCAGTGTTTGCATAGAGTAGCAGAAGGAACATAGGAGCTGTGGATCCCATTAAAAATGATGAAATTTAAGTTTCCTATCTCTAATATTCACTTATTTGTGAACTTTGAGCAAATCCCTAAATCTTCTGCAACAAGAATAACACTTTTGCATTTATCTGGTCACACCCTGAGCACTTAATTTCTGCCATGTGGGATGTGAGGCTGAGAAGATCACAGCTATCTTTAGAGACATCATTTACAGTTCATGTCAAAGTTACAAAAAACTGAAACAAAGAATATAATTTTAAGTAGTTTGAGGCTCTCAGATAAACGAGTTCAGTGCTAACAGTGACAATTAATTATATATTTGCTTTACTAAGCTTAAGAATGAGCAAGAGCAGGGTCTGTATTGATATAAAACCGGTCAGATTTCCTGAAACAAGCCCAGAGCAACCCAGTCTCGAGCAGCCAAAAGAACACAGACAAGGGAAAGAAAATATCAGATCAGCAAATACCTCTTAAAATTCCAGGGATGTGACAGTTTCTTGGTGAAAGCACAGGACACATCTTGAGAGCTTCTTTTTAACTCTGCTCCTGCGAGAGCAGCTGTGGAGTCACAAAGTCTGGTGGTTCAGCAGTGACTGGAGTTGGCATAAACCCCTAAAAATAATGGCATTTGCTGGCTAGAAATCATTATAAGACAATGCACAACACTTCTTTAAAGAAGGGTTTTCCGTATCTAAACATCTCCACTACTTTTGGTTTGTCCCAGTTTTTATTTTAAATGGGATCACACCAGAAAAAAACTCTCCAGTGAGCACTTGCTGTTCTTACACTGACTTTTTATTGATTTTGTGCCTCAAAATGCAGCCCCATATCTGACAGCCCTACTCTGTATTTTTATTTTTTACTGTTCCTTCACCTGCTCTAATCCTTTACTGTCTTGTCCTTTCTAGAGCAATAAAACTCCAGGAGTCTTCTTTTTCTACTTTCAGAACACTCAGAGCAAGACAGGGAAGTAATTTGTGCTTATAAATCTCAAGACAACTAACTCTAGGGCATAAAAATGCAAATTACTGATGCTACCAGGGGATCGAAATTGGCTACCATATAACCATATATTTTGTAAGTCCTAGCACAAACTACTTTCTTGATTTCTGGAAATTAGCTTTCCATGATTTCCTGGTAATTACCATGTGTCTGAATGGCCATTTTTACTCTCCCTGTATTTTCAGTCACTGATATTTATTTCCTGTCACTGACTCTTAGTCATCATCAGCTGTTGCTTTTCATTTCTTTAAAATCCCTCAGTATTTTCCTCTCAGATGCTTCAGCTTTTGTAAGGGCTCATCTTTTATCCCCTTAAACCCCATACACCTGACAATAAATTTTCTCTCTAGACAGAAAGCCCTCGTGTTGTAAAGGCAGAGAAATTCTGAGAATTAAGCAGGTCCACAGTTTTAACAGGAATTTACAGACACCTGAGGGAATTTGTCTGAAAACTGGGTGTTTTAAAGTGAAGTCACAACACTGGCAGATTTACACACACTGGAGAAGTTGTATAAAAACTCATGTAAGGGGAAATTTTTTTTCCCCTTCAGACATTAGCAACAGAAAAAGGTTAAAAGCCACAGCTGCTTGTTTGCCTCCCATCTTTCATTTTCTTCCTTTCTTGATTATAAGTAGTTAATTACAGAGAGATGGCACCAAATTAACAGTTTACTGCCAGTGAAGTAGAAAACTCAAATTTTTAAGATCCTCTTGCAGGTGTGGTGTTGTGGCAAAATGGGACCCACCAGCTGATTACAGCTTTGCTCTGCTTTTTAACCCTGGTGATCAGAAGTGACCTGCCAGAGACATCCCCACTCCCAGCAAATGCAAGAAATTACTTCTAGTCACCTAACGAAGACACAAGTCCAAATACACCCCCTGCCTGTGTGGGCAGCTGTGGCTGGGGCTTGGTTATTTTATTTAGAGGGTTTTTTTCACATTAATATGCAAACTGCCAGCAGCCCACAGAAGGCTGACAAACTGCCAGTGCACTTGTTAACTTCCAGGGCTGGGGGTGAGGCCAAGTCCTCCTGCTGTACTGGAATTTTTGCCACCAGCTTCAGGGGGACTAGAATTTAACTTGTTACCCATAAAACTGAGGATACACCAAGCAGTTCCTGAAAGGGGCATAAGGAGGGAGCTGCTGCAGTGACCACAGGGCAGTGATGGATATAAATGACCTGGCACTCATAAAACACGTTGACCATTGCAGGAGGACCTGGGATAGACATCTACCCTTGAAAAGAGCTGGGAGGAAAGAACCTTCACACTCTCAAAGCTCCCAAATTGCCACCGATGTCTTTCACGCTCCAGAAACTATTTTATGGGGTGTAGGCTTGACAGCTTCTACCCAGCCTTCAGGTTCCCTCTCTCCAGCCCCAGGACTGGAGCCATCATGCACATGAAACTCTCTGCTTGTTTGGCTACAGGGACCTACTGCCATCGTCATCAGATTTCCCCCAGACCTGCTCAAGTTCTGATTTTAAGTAGTGATTTGCTCAATCTTCTCCTTTCAGGACATTTTTCTACATTCTTGTTATTTTTTTCACCTCACTGTTCTCACTTCTACCTGGGGAGGTTGTAAGAAAAGAGAAAATTGAACAGTTAATTTTGTGGAGTGAGAAAGCACAATCAACTGCTAGAGATACATTCTCCTACTACGTTCCCATTTTTCTTCTGACATCATGAGAAATTATGTAAAAAAAAAATTAATAATAAAAAAAAAGGCAACCAAAAGAACTCCAAATACCTGTAACAATCAGACAGTTACAATTTCTGTAACTGTTTGTCTTCTGTTTAAAAAGTTCTTTCCTAGAGCTGTTCTGTATCTCTCACCACCCCTCAAATGTGACCACCCCTCTTTAAAACGAAAAAACATGCAGACAAAAAGACACCTGCAGGCTGCCAATAGTGGAAGGAGTTTTTACACAGTCTGGGGGCCATAAACTATTTAGCATTTTGTCTGGGTTTTTGACAAAAATTGTTCTGACATAAAAATTATCAACCAAGTTATCTGAAGCTCTCTGAGTGTTACCTCTTATTTTCTTCCTCCAGACTGTTCTCAGCTTTCCATTCATCTATTAATTTTTCTTCTTACTTATTCTCAAATAAAAGAAGTTGACTTCTACCATTTTTACCCAGGAAATACAAACCTGAAATACTATCACGGGAATTCGCTCATTTTTAGGTAACCATTCTCAAGAATTCGAATTCTCTGTCCTCTTTCTCAGCTCCCGAAAGCCTGATGCAGGCTTTGGAAGATCTGGATTACTTGGCAGCCCTGGATAACGATGGGAACCTTTCTGAATTTGGAATTATTATGTCAGAATTTCCCCTGGACCCACAGCTTTCCAAGTCCCTTCTGGCTTCGTGTGAGTTTGAGTGCGTGGACGAGATGCTGACCATCGCAGCCATGGTAACAGGTACCAGAAATCATCTCACTGCTTGGCCTCTGCCACCTCCCCAATCCACGTCCTTTCTTTCCAAGTCTATCCACAAAAGCGAATTTTTTTGTTATTCTCATCCTTCTCATTACAAATACATTAAAATCTTTGGCTGTCTAAGCCTTGTCTTGGGGTGCAATGAAATGTAAGTAGTGACTCCATAAGTACAATTCCATTTCCATGCTTCAGCTGCCCACGGGCTTCCAGCCTTTTGTCAGAAACATCCCTTCCACATGAACTTTCTTATCTCATATCAATCTACACTGGTTACAGACTGGAGCAGCAAATTAGGAGCAGTTCTGATTATAAACAATATTGAACTGTCGACCTGCAAAGACTCTGTGAACAGGATATCAAGCTGCATGAATTGTTCTCCAATATAAGACAACTTTATGCCCAAGCTGGGTTGATTTTTAACAGTGGGCCTAAACTTGTGATAAAATTTTTAAGTACATGTAACAAATGTAAATGATTGAGCACAGGCACAATTTAGTTTTAAAAAAGCTCAACCATCTCCAAAGGCACGAATTTCCATATATAGGGGGAAATTAAGGCATTACAGCCATAGGTTTAGTTTCTTTCTGTATTAAATAAACCATAGGGACTCTGGCTAAACTGGATCACACCACTATGAGGCATTTTTGACAGCGTTCTAGGAGAAAGCTGCTCACCTACTTTTGTGTTTACAGCACACATTAACTCAACAAGAGGCTGGGAGGAATCCTACTAAATAAACCCTTAGTGGGTTCAGCTCTTCAGCAGCTGGACATTAAAGGAAACTGAGGAAGGAAGAAACCCAACATAAATGTGTTGATTTTTTCCCAAGCTCCCAATTGCTTCTTACACCCTCCTCCTGGGACAGAGGAGATAGCCCTGACCTGCTGGAGAAGGTTCTCCCACCCTGCAGGAGATCACTTTACCCTTATCAACATCTTCAACGCCTTCAAGGAAGCCAGTGCCAGCTCCACAGACCGAGGTGAGTGTGCCCACACCAAAATGAAGCACCCTGGGAGCAATCTGGAAAAGGCAAACCAAAAATCTGGTCAGCTGTTGTCAGCATTTACCTCATAAACCCTTTCTGAATGATTCCTTCCAGAATTGCTGATTGGCAGGGAGAAACCTATGAGAGTATCTATTGCTGATGGATATTAGTTAATTAACTAATTGACAGTGACCTAGGACAGCAGCCCCCATCCACCATGGACACACAAGCACTATTCTGGTTGTCATTTGAAGTGATGCTGTTCCAAACCAGAATGATGGTTCCCTCTGCAAAAGCCCAAATCCAGGTTTAAGATGTGAAAGGACATCAACACAGGTCAGGAGGGCCTCGATTCCCCCAGCAGCCCACCAATTCTGATGGATTTTTTGATAGCTGTCAACTCAAAGAAAAGCTAAGGGAAAAATGGAGAGTAGTAAAGTTCACATTTACAGGAGACCAAATAAAAGCCAGGGGACTGCACAGTAGTAGCAGCTCTTCACAGCATTTTCCTGTGCTCAGACATCATGCTCTGGGTCATTAAACCCAGGTCCAGTGCTTAGACCATGGAAGGATAAATTTGCACACTCCAAGTAAAACCTTCAGACAGGAAAGCAGGATTATTAACCATTCAGTCATGCTGGATGCTGAAGGGAAGTCCAGGAGATCCACTCCTTTTCCAGGATGCAGGGCCATCACCAGCACTACAGATGTGATTTCAGCTCCATATCCCGGCCTGAACCCAGGCCTGAAAAACAGGGTTGCTACTCGTTCTCTTGGAAGTTGTTACTTTTAAGAGACCAAACAAGGGATTTTCTTCAAAAAGAAATAGCTAAAGTTCTATAAAACTACGTGAGGGCATCAGGAACTGCCCACTGACTTTACAAGGAACATCAACGAGCCCAAGACATCTGTGTGGCTCATTACCAGAATCTGACAGTCCTGACACAGCCACTCCCCTCCAAAATGGTTTTAATCTCTTGCTCCACTCAGAGAGCCTTTCAGAGCAGGATCTCTGTGGGTTGTACCTATCAACAAGCCAAAATGCTGTTTTTTACCTCCCCAGAGTCCAGCAGTGAGCAGTGGTGTCGGGATTATTTCCTGAGCTGTCCTGCCCTGAGGATGGCAGGAGTCATCAGAGCCGAGCTGGTGGAGATCATGAAGCGAATTGAACTGCCCATTTCACAGCCAGACTTTGGATCCAAACAAAATGCACTAAACATCAAGAAAGCTCTCCTGTCTGGTTACTTCATGCATGTAAGGAAAAATACTGTGGTTTCATCTTGCTGCATTGTTGAATCATATAGAATGCTTTCAGAGAATTTAAATTAGTGAAACCTCTTGGTCACCAAAAAGAATAAAAGCCATTTTTTCCATGGTGTATCAAACACCTCCACCCATTCCAACCTTTTCTCTGGAGTTCAGCTGTTACAGAATAGGAAATAAGCAATAACAAAACTGTCAATATGCCTTTCACTCAAAGAACTCTTTTCCCTCAAAAAAACTCTTCTAACCTTTAATATTCACTTAAACATTATTTCCTGTTTGAAGCTGCTTTTGTGAAAATACCCTGGAAACAGAGAAATGAATATATTTAGGTGCACATAATACACAGCTTACTTCACCTCAGCCTAGTAAGATACTTTAATTGTAATTGTAAACACAAACAAGATTAACTTATTCTCACTGGAACACAATGCACTTTCCTTCACATCACTGTGCTCCATCTCAACACAAGAATGACCCCTCCAAACTACACTATTTCAGGTGTCCTGCCACACATTGTATTTCAAAGTCTATGAAGAGTATGTATGTTAAAGAATATATGTTTATGTTTTCACACAGACCCTTCAAAGCCAAGTTCAGACACTTCTGTACTCACCTGCCCTCATCTGTTGCAGAGTTTCCTTTCAAATATACAGATCAACATTTTCTTTAAGCCTCATTTCATGGCATCCAACCCCCAGCCTTCCCCCACAAATTTGGGAAGAGGTTTAGCCTCTCCAGTTGAAAGTGTCTGAAGGCAAGTTTAATTTCTGGTTTTAATATAACAGGCAAACACTGATCCATCAAGTAATGGATGACTCCCTGCATTCTTTTTTTTTTTTTTAGATTGCTCGTGATGTGGATGGCTCAGGGCACTACTTAATGTTGACACACAGACAAGTGGCCCAGCTCCATCCTTTCTCCTCCTATTACAACTCCAGAAGGATTCCTGAGTGGGTTTTATTCCACGAGTTCTGTATCTCAGAAGGCAATTCCATCCGAGTTGTCTCCGAGATATCACCCGACCTGTAAGTTCACAACGATGAAATTGCTTCTTCCCTCCTGCCTCTACCACATCCTCATCACTTTGTGGGGATAAAAACCAATAAATCAGTAAAACAGGCGTAAGAGAAAAGGATAATCTTCATACCTAGTCAAGCAAGAGGAGTTGGCATCACTGTAAGATGAAGAAATTGTTGCTTTTCACACTTTTTATATTCACTAGTGAATGTATGTGGGATAAATTTCATTTCTTTGTTGCCAGAATTGTTCTGTCACTGTGTGGAGCTTTGCTTGATGGCTCCATTTTCCCTCAACAAAACACTGACTGCATTAAGGCTCAGAGCTACTAAAAAAAAGGGAAGATGTGTCATCTCAGCCCTTACCACCATTTTTGGGCAAAACAAAACACGATTTAAGTCAGTTTTCTGTATTTCCCAGCATGTGCTAATCTGTTCAGGTACTGAACTGAAGTCTCAATATCTGCCACTGTTAAGTGTCACCAACTGAAAAAAATACCTTTTAAGTTGTAAAAATTTCTTACAAAGTAAAATATACAGATATAAAATTCAAAGATTTAACAGAGCAGTGTACTCCTAGATTAATCCAGCTGGAAATGTCTTTGTTCCCTGAAAATCTATTTTCCAGCAAATCTTATCCTCAATACATTTTCTGTACCCAGCCAGCTGAATCCCCCTGTATCAACTGCCTATGGATTCAAGAAGCTACAATCTTCCTGCTGCAAAAATCTCTTTACACCAAGAATATGCATTTCCCTGTCCTACCTTTTCTATTTCCTAGGTTAACAGGAGAGCCTTTTTCATAATGTTATTGAACCAGTATGTTCCAAACCAGGAAAATGACTATTTAAAGCCATCTGCACCACTGAGAATCTGAACAACAATCACCTCAAGTGAAGACTGAGTATATTAAGTGCAAGTCTACTGAAAGCAGAAAATACTATTACACCTTGCAGAGAATTTTGGTTTCTTACAGACAGGTTGGATTTTGGGTTGAAATACCAACTCTGTTGCTGTTATGCATCATCTTTTGCATAGGAGTGGAAAGAGTTACTCAAATATTTCAGAGTTCAATTGAAAACCAATCATGTTTTGTCTCATTTCCTCCCCAGATTCGCTGAGCTGGTACCTCAGTATTATTTTAGCAATCTTCCTCCCAGTGAAAGCAAGGATATCCTGCAGGAAGTGATCAATCACCTGTCACCTGTTTCAACCCCAAAGGAGGAACAGAAAACCACCAATGACAACAAAGAAAACGAGGAATTTCCCACTGAGGCTCCCACTGAACAGAGATGTGTCATTCAGTGATTTCAGACTGAGCTATCACATACTGGACAACTACATATAAAAGCAATGTATGCAAAGTACATCCCCACCCTGACACATGTAATTATTTCAAACCTCTGACATAAATGTGTTTGACAGAAGAAACATAAAGAAAAAGCACTTTTCTCGACAAAAGGAGTGGCATCCATTATTTCATAACAAAAACACAAGATCTGGTTTTGGTTAAAAATACACTGAGCAGGTCTTCGAGTTTTCTTTTGACATGGGGATTTTATTGGCTGCTTGATGATGATACCAAAGTAAAACAGGACGAAATATTTAAAAAATATTAATTTGGTGGCTGTTCTTAGGAGCACAGAGGAGTCATCTGTGAAAATATTGTGAAGTCAGAGTTCTGCAGGGCTGCCTTATAAAAACCTGGTGTTTGCAGGGGAGCTCACAGTGAGAGGTAGTCCTTGAGTTTCTCCATAATGGCATTAATTCCATCAGCTGGAACTATCATAACAGTCCTCAAAGGCTTCATTGGTACATCATCAAAGGACCATCTGCCACCCAAGCAGGTGTCGCTTTCCTCTTGCACAGAGTAGTTGAACTTCAGGAGGGCTTTCTGAACAACACAAAGAAAAAGCATTCAGGTTGAAATTTTTCACTAGCATGAAGACAACACATCAGCTAAACAAAGCAAAAATAATGGACCTATTATGCCAGGCTTATTAAGAAGATTTTTTCCACCATCTCCAAAGGTCCACCAAAAAAATTCTACTATTAAGTGTTTTAAACTACCTGATTTTCACAGGATTTATGTGATTCATAATAAACTCTAAAACATGAACAACATGAGCAATGGAAGCCCTACATCTTTACTCAATTCCAAGTCTGGTTATAATAGATTTCCTGGTCATAATTTTAAGGAACAGAATAACTGCCAAGTGCAAAAAGGCTTCTCTCTGTTTTATATGGCTGCAAGTGTCTGCCTCACCACATTCCATACTATTTCATGGCAATCTAATTAACCTTCTGTGTGATCAGGGAGGATATAGACTCCAACGCTAATTTAACACATACACATTATTAAGTGCAGAGAACCCACTTCATCTAACACCCTCCATAATGTTTAAAATTAATTTTTTTTTTTTAGAGACTGCTAAAAAAAGAAAAGCATCTTTGGTTTGAGTCCAATAATATTGCAGAATAGGATTTTTAAAGCTTGGGAAAAAGAAAAAAAAACAAAACAAAACACCCCACAATGAACAATTCATTGCATTTCAAAGCACGATTTTAATTTAATTTCCTGTGACTTCCCCTCCCCTGATTTGGTTTGGGAGCAGAACTGTGCAGACAGGTTGCCTTAGGAGAGAGGAAGTAATGTTTTCATCTCAGTATTTTAGCACTTCTTATTAATATACTTGCCCTGAGTAGAAGAGACACAAAAGGGAAGTGAGAGCTATTTGTTTGGATCTTCAGAAGTTTGTTTTTTCTGAGTAGATTTTGAAAGTAACAGGTGACCAGAAGGAAACACAAATCAACACACAAAAAGAGCCTCACTGCTCATCTCTCAACACTACTCTAAAAAAACCTGGATTTAATCTAAAAAGAGTTGTGATTGCATCTTTAAAAAATCTCCTCTTGAATTTGAGGTAAAACACTTGTTTTTGGGTGACATGTAAAGAAAAGTCAACATTTTGAATTGAAAGTATCACATGTGTTACCTCATGAAAGAATTCTTCCTCTGCATTTGCAAACATTAATTCCTCTTTTTGCTGATTTCTGCCTTCCCTCCTCTTAGCATTGCTCTTTGTGGCTTCTGTGAAGGTTTTGCTGATAAGAAGGTAATAGTGGCACTTCCCACAGGGTTTGTTTGTTCTCTGTGCCTCAGCCAGCTCTTTCCTAAAGATAAATAAACATTTACACATTTAAAAATATGTTTACATGCACAATTTAAATCCTAAACAAGCATATAATAAACCTTACAATGCATTACTATAGAAAGGATATTCACATTGCAGCCTATTATTTTATGAGTGCCTCAGAAAATACATTTTGCACCTTTATTTCTAGCACATAAATACACTATTTGCACTTTCAAACAATAAAAGTATTGATGTCTTTCCACACCTCACAAGATAAGCCTTTTTCCCCCAGAATCTTGTTCATGGTAGAGAGTCTGTGAAGTGATTCTAAGTGCAACTCTCCTTAAAAATGCATCACATTATCACTTCCACGAGGAATTACGACTGACGACACAGAAAATAACTCTTGCCCACCCTTGTGTTAGACATGTTGTCACTAAAACACTCCAAAATCTTTAGGAGAAAGAGGCTGGAATCTGAATTTGAGCCGTCCCAAGTGCTGTATTTGTGGTGACCTCAAAGTTCAGCCTTCAAGCACCTCATTTTTTTCCTCTAAAAACCTTCCTGACCAACCCCACCCTACAAATCCAAGTCAGAGTTCCTTAAAGGTCTCTTTAATTGCTTAAATGAGCCTGTCCCTCAATCCAAATGTTCCATTCCAGAGCCAGGCATTAACACATGAGAAGAAACATCCAAGTTGCTCTTAAAAAGTTCTCCTACACCCTACAAAAAGTTCTCATTTTTACATTTTCCCAGATCAATACGAAAATAATCCACAATACAAAGACAAAATAAACACAGCTAAATATAAGCTACACAGCCTATTTCTGCAGTAGAAAGGCACATATTTTTAAATTATATCCTCTTCTTTCGTAATTATTTTTATATTTTTAAGGGTTTTTATATGCTAAAGTAAAAAGAGTTTCCAAAGCCTGGAGATACAAAGAAAATTTTAAAAATTAACTAAAGGCATTATATGAGATTAAATCAATCTTTTTTGTTCATGCCTTACTTATAGATATAGTACCCCCTGTCTTAACACAGCTCCATATACATAAGATTTCTGCCAAAAAAACAAAACGAAGTGCTAGTCAACATCGTGTCAGGAAAAAAAAAAAAACAAACAACCAACCCAACAAACTTACTGGAGCTGCTGGTGCATGGGCAGAGCAATCTGGGGTGGAACATTGATGAACCTTTCACTGAGTATGAGCCCCACGGGCTTTGTGCTGTCGCTCAGGAGTTTGCTCAGCTGTTCGACCACGCGCTGCTCGCAGCTCCTCTCACAGCGGCTCAGAACCAGCTCTTTGATTTGCTCAGCGCACTGGGTACCCTGCAATCAAAAAGGGGTGTGTTTTCTTCACCTTGCAGAACAAATATTTGCACAAGAAAACCTTGAATGCCCACTTCTAGGGGGGGTTTCCTGCAGGCCTGGTGCTGAGGGCAAGCAGAAGTTGGCAGCTGGTGGGAACACCGAGCGCTCCACAGCAAAACTCCAAACTGAGGGGGATCAAAGTGGGGAAACACAAGAGACTGACAGCCCAGTTACCCTGGAATTACTGGATCTGGTTGTAGCTCTTTGCTTTATGTCTGACCTTCAGCAAGTTACTACAACAACAACAACAAAATCTAAGTCACAAGTGACTTTTATGACCCCATAGTGGAACTCAAAATCCTGATCCAGCTGTCCAGGCTTGTCCTACAGGGCAGAAAGCAGGATGCAGCCTCATTTATCACTAGCTAGATGTTAATGAGGAATACCAACCTTCCTTTCTGTTAAGTTCAGGCAGCTTATAAAACCAAAGACCTCATCGTCATCTTCATCATCATCGTCACTACTGTCCTCCTGGACTTCTGCTTGCTGTTGAAAGAAAGAAGAAGCAACAACTCAGACTGACATTCTATTTCCACTCTGCAGCAAAAGCTGTTTGTCTTTCCAGGAGGTGCTCAGCAGATTGCAACCACCCAGGTGATCTGTGCAAAGCACAACCTGCAAATTCTGGTGCTGCTTCACTGAACATCTTGGGTGTTCTCAGAGCCAGCTTTATATAAAGCCTGCTCGTGCATCTTCTGCAGCAGGGGCTTTTGAAAGGCACTAAAATTTGATAGCTCACATTCAATAAGCAGCATCTCGGTCCAAGGCACGGCAATACCTTAAGCAAAAGCAATTTTCTGCAGTTTCTAAAGCAGGGAAGCAAACCTGCAATGCCTTAAAACCCACAGAGCAATAAAGCTTTGACAGGGAGTGGGACACAGAGCTCAGCAAAACTCCACAATAAAAAAATCTGGGGAAAGAACTGGGGGGTCATGGTTGCAAGTAGGCACAGAAAATTTCAGCTCCCATAAAAGAATTACCCTCGAAGCCAAAAAGCAAGATACAAATTAAAGCCAAAAAGCAAGATACCAATTAAAGCATCTGCCTCTGAAATACAGGAATTATGTCATTTCAACAACAATTATTGTACTGTACTTACAAACATAAATTCTGCCTTACCTTGATAATACTTCCAATATGATTCTGTTGTATTAATATATCAGTTAACTCAGCAGTGTTAACAGGAGCTTTTAGAAACAACTGGAAGACAGGAAATAAAATATTAAGTTTTAGGCACTGACAACATATCATGGGCCACTTAGAAAATAAAGTTAGAAATGTCTCTAAGTTGTAATGGAATACTCTGTTCCATTTTTAATTTCTATTTAGTGAGGATTTTAATTAACTTGCTTCAATAGAATACTGTAAAGACTAAAAATCAGCTTCTTGAAGTGCTTTCTCCTGGACCCTCCACACACAAGGTTTTCTGGGCAGCAATTAACATTATGAGGACAGAAAGATGTACACACTGTGAAAGAATAATCCAATATTTCACTGGGCCAACTTACTGAAACCATGGTTTAGGAGACACACGTTCACATGCAGCTGTAACTATTTAATCTCCATGAGCTGAAGAAGAGTCAAACTATAAATCAATACAGAAAATGTGAACTGATATCTCTGCTTAACTCTTTAGATATTATTCATCACAGTGGACATACCAACCAAGCTAATAGGTAGTCAAAGTACCTGTTGCAGTAACTTCTTTATCCCATTGTAGTCATTGTCTGATATGGAATGTGCTTCAAATTCAATGTTCACTTCCTGTGGGGAAGTAAAATAGAGAATATCAAACACACTTGGCAAGAACCTTGAAGACAAGTAATGGTAAATACCAGAAATAAAACTTATTTCCATGTTTCAGTGACCTCAGCAATTGTCAGTTATCGTCTCTTCTGTGAAAGAAGCAGAGCAGCTGTGGCTGCCCCATCCCTGGAAATGTTCAGGTTGGATGGCACTTGGAACAACCTGGGATAGCGTAAGGTACCTCTGCCCAGGGCAGGGGGAACAAGATGAGCTTTAAGGTCTATTTCACCTATTTAAAAAAAAAGGCAAATACAGACTCATCATGTATTTTGGTGTGTCCTAGCTTGCTGCTGTGGGTTTCATCTCCTCCCTCCATGTTTCTTCCAAAGCAAAGCCAGAGCCTGCAAAGCAAGCTGTTAGGAGTTGAAGGGAAGGGCTTGATATGGCAAAATTAAAAATGCCCTTAAAATATTACTTCACAAAGTTCTAAGTCTGCACAGTTATAAATGCTCAGTACATTTCTTTACTTTACAAAGCACATCTTGAAGTCTTATACAAGAATTTATGGAAACTCAATATATCTTTATATCAAGACTTAAAAACTGAAACAGATGTAAGAGTGATATATCACCCTCAAAAGCTGGGCTACTAAATTAAAATAAGTGTTATATTGCAAATTTTATCCAGATGAACTGAAAAGAAAGCACAGTAGTGCAGGACACACAGAAACCATCCTCAAAACCCTTGTCACTGAAGACTCAAGAAACTTCATCCACAACTCAATAAAACCCACTGTCCTACCCACATTGTGCAGGGATGTTGGGCACTTTTAAGAAAAAGGAGGAAAAAGAAAGGATTATAGTCATTAGCTTCAATTTTTTAGTGTTGAAACAGTAGTGAAGTGTCTTTTACCAGTTTACAAACACTGAACAGGACACACAGCACCAGCAGTGCCAGTCCAGAACCTCAACATATGTTAGCTCAAACCAGGGCAGTGCCCATTCAATGGTCTCAGAGGGCTTTTCCAGCCTAAATGATTCTGTGCTTCTGTGCACTGACTCTGAACTCCTACTAAAATCTTCAGATAAGGCAATCTGTTATTTTCACAGGGCTTAAAAAGGCCAAGAATAGAAGTATCTGTGGATTCTAAGCTGGTACATTTTAAATTAAATATTTTGCAGCAGTGACTGTGTTCACCAGGATTTCACTTTTAGTTGATTATGTTCCTTTATCTTAGCTCAGGCCTTACTTAAGTTAGCAAATAAAAAACCCACAAACCCAATCTTTAAAAAAACCCCATATCCTGGTAAGAAGTGTAGGTTTAATTGTGTTATCAGTTGTAGGAACATGATGGAAAAGCACATTTCCCCTTTGCTAGAAACGTCTGCCACATTGAATGGGCACTGCCCTGGTTTGACCTAACACATGCTGAACTTCTGGACTGGCACTGCTGGTACCCAGACACCCTCCTGAACACCTTCCCCAAGCATCCCCCTAAACAAACACCCTCCTAACACCTTCACGAACATCCATCCCCCCAAACATCCTCCTACACACTTTCCTAAGCATCCTCCTAAACAAATATCCTCCTAAACATCTTCACCAACATCCATCCCCCCTAAACATCCTCCTACACCTTCCCCAAGCATCCTCCTAAACAAACACCCTCCTAAACACCTTCAGGAACACTCATTCCCCCTAAACATCCTCCTACACACCTTCCTAAGCGTCCTCCTAAACAAACACCCTCCTAAACATCTTCACGAACATCCATCCCCCCTAAACATCCTCCTAAACACCTTCCCAAGCATCCTCCTAAACAAACACCCTCCTAAATATCTTCACGAACACCCATCCCCTCCAAACATCCTCCTAAACACCTTATCAAGCATCCTCCTAAACAAACACCCTCCTGAACATCTTCACTAACACCCATTCCCCCAAATATCCTCCTAAACACCTTATCAAGCATCCCCCTAAACAAACACCCTCCTGAACATCTTCACCAACATCCATCCCCCCAAACATCCTCCTAAACACCTTCCCAAGCATTCTCCTAAACTAACACTCTCCCCAACATCCTCCCTCCCGAACATCCCCCCAAATATCGCCCCAAACATCCCCCAAGCGCCCTCCCGGCCCCGCTGCCCTCTCCTCATCACCTCATCGATCGGCTCCTCCGAGTCCGAGCCCTCCGAGCCGTCCGATTCCCCGGACCCCGATCCCGATGCCGATCCCGAGTCGCTGTCGGGGCCGCGGCCCGGGGCCCTGCGCTTGGCCGGCGTGGCCATGGCCCGTGTGGCTGCGGGGAGCGACGGCGGGCCCGGGATGTCACCCAACGTCACCCGATGTCACCGTGTGTCGCGACAGAGAGGGCGGCCGGTGCGCGGCGCTGGGAAAGGCGGCGTGTGATGTGTGCGTGTACACGACAACACTGCCCGGACCGCCCCTTCTGCCCAAACCCCCGGATTTCCTCTCGGCGCTGCTGCTGTCACTTCCTCCCGGTTGGAATTCCTGCGTGGAAGGGGCTGTTCGGCTCCGCCAGGATCTGCCCGGGGAGGGGTCGGAGTGCCCGTCCCTGGGGGTGTCCAGGGGGACCCGCCGGACGCGGCGCTCAGGTTTGGGCTCGGCGGGTCCCGGAGGGCTTTTCCAACCCCGGCGGTGCCGGGAATGCTGCGCTTTGGAAGGAGCGGGGTATCCCGAGCGCCTCTGACACGATTAAATATCATTAGTAAAAAAAAAAAAAAAAAAAAAAAATAGTATTAGTAAAAATTAGTATGGGTAAAAGTTAGTCAAAAGTTGCGAGTTGAAACAGGAGTCAAGCGCTTGCTGCTTGTTTTTGGTTGTTTGTGTTTTTTTGTTTGGTTTTTTTTTGTGTGTGTTTTTGGTTTTGTTTTGTTTTTAAAGATAATTCCCAGATTCGCCTGAATTAGGTTCCCTAGTTCCGGATAGTTCCAGGCCGACAAGCACAAAAGGCAGCGAGGTGCAGCACAGCAGTCAGCACAGCGCGAACGTTCTCTCTGTGAAAAATAATACCAGTCAGGAAAACACGTGGGAAAACCCCTTAGCACTGAAATTACCGAAGTGGGGATTAATGACTGAATAATTTCGAACGTTCTCCGTTTCAGTCTTTTTGTCTAATTAACGAAGGAAGGTGAGTGTTAATGTCCTGCTGGCAGCCGCAAGTGCAAGGCTCAGGGCCTGGGATGTAATTCCAGCTTTACGAATACAAACCAAGTAGGTTAAAATTTTTGTTTCCTTTAAAGCATCAAACACGCCTCTGTTTATTTTTTTAATTGTTTGTTTGTTTGTTTGAGAGCTGTGCATGCTCTGGGAGTACTTAAGTCATTGCCAAAATGTGAATATTGATGCCCAGGGAAAGAATTCGGTGTAGGAAGGTGAATTGTCATATTTTTGCTGCTGCACTAAAACTGCCTTTCTGGGGATGCAGGCTGTGTGTGTATAGTTTTCCATTGGATGTGTGAATTTATGTTTGGAATTAATTACTAATGACTAACTGCTTTTGGTAAAAATGTGTGATGTAGTAGAAGGGTCAGAGCTTTTTGCCGCTCCTCTGAACCAGTTTTGTTGTTGAGTTTTGCGACTCAGACACCCAAATAGCAGGAATTATTCTCAAATCATTTGCTGTTGTTGTTATTTGATTATATATGTCTTACATTATCTGGGTATTGGGTAGGTTTCTGGACCATACTCCACAGCACCCTTGCAGGTGGGGTTTTATCTTCCCTGGTTATTAAACCCATCTAATTGTGGTAAAACATTTGAATCTTTATAATTATTTATTTTAAAGAGAATTTGCTAGTGTGCAACCAGGAAAGTAACACACAGGTAATTAGGGTAAATGTGCCTTTTTAGAGAATGGATTTCTGTTTTTATGATTGGTACATTTGTAACTTTGCATTCAACAGCAAAGTGCAAGCTTTTCAGGAACTGAGAACTATCACCTTCCATTTTAATGGCAGAATGTGTGTTTTCAGTCTGGCATTGTTAACTGGAGATACATGAAAGAAAGCACGTGAATATTATGATTGTATATATTATATTCAGGTAGACACAACATATGTTGTATTTAAAAAATCATGTTGAAACACAATTTTCTCTTTAGAAAAGGGTGAATGCATCAGATCAAATATTTGCATCATTATTATGATGAGCAGAGGGTGAAAAGCAGCATGGAAATTAATAGAAAAAAATAACTTTTCTGGAGATAGGAGCTGATTACATTGCAGAACGTGATGGCATTGTAGGGGTTGTTGCTGCTTTTACAAAATCCTCTTTAAAAAAATGTGTTCTCCTTGATGGCTTCCACGGGAGCCTGTTCCCTGAGCAGTGTTATCTAAAGGCAGCATGTTATTTTTTGGCCTTATCAGGGTGGATATTCCTGCCCAGAGAGTGCCCAGTAACTGCTTACTCACTGTGCAGGGAGCTGTACAAGTGGTAGCAACCCAGTTCTTTGGAGCTGAGCTGTTGAAGTCACTGTTCAAGTAGATCTCATTTAGATCTCATTTAGATAAATTCCATTCTTGTATTTCAGAGTTCTGCTGCTCTTACTTGGTGAACAATGAAGGTTCTGCTGCTGAAGGATCCCAAAGACAAAGACACGGGACCAGATCCGTATATTAAAGTGAGTAAACTTTAAAAAAAAAAAGGCAAACAAATGGGTCACTTCACTGTTAAATAATAGTGTCAGGTGGATGTAACTGTTTCAGGTGGAAAACATGAATTAATTAATTAATCAGAATTAGGAGTGGATGTTTGTAGCTGTGATGTTTTCTGAGGAAAATAATCAAAAATAGGGGGACGTGTCTGAAATTATGCTAAGGGAAAAAGTGTCCTAGAAAATAAGCTCTTACTGCAAGAAGTTATGTTAGTTATGGGGCATTTTTACTGACTTCACTTTTAAAGCCCTCAGCAAAGTACTGATATTAAACCAGTTTCATTTTAATTAATTAATATTGATTATGTTCATATGGATAGAGCTAAAATTAGAAGAATTCTTAGTATTTTTACTGGGAATGTAATGTGAAATAGAGGTTAGTTGGTGGTGGGGTCCTTTCTGCTGCTGCCTTTAGTCATGTGAGTCTTGTTGTAAGAGCAGTTCTGTTGGAGGATTTCTGTTTAACAGGAATTATTCCTTTAGAAGAATGAATTCTTTAGAAGGACATGTATTTACAGAATTACAGAGATGTACAGGAACATTTTCAGGGCTGGGGGTTTCAGAGTTATCCTATAACTCAGGAGGCCTCAGTTCCACAGCTATTTGTTCAATAGCATGTTGAAATACTAACAAATAACAAACATAATAAATACTAACATAATAAATACTAACAAATAACAAACATAATAAATACTAACATAATAAACACTAACAACTAACAAACCAAACCAGATCTACCATTAAGAGGCAATCAAATGCCTTTTAATTTTGCTTTAGTACAAAGAAATGCTTGTGATGGCTTTTAGTCAGTTCTTTAAAAAAGGGGAAAACCTGCTTTTTGGAACCCATTTCAAGAGCTGCAAACCCTTTCTTACTAGGAATTAGGATTGTACGGCCTCGAAGCAACGTTGATCCCAGTTTTGTCATTTGAATTCCTGTCTCTTGAAAGCTTATTTGAAAAGGTGAGTTCTAAATGATTCCAGTTGTCTTACTTTAAACAAAATTTAGGCCATGCTTGCCACGATCCCGTGTGTTATCTTGATTTAATTGTGCCCTTTGTGGTACCTTTTTTTAGCTGTGTATAATAAAATTCACATTTCAGTTAATGGACCATAGACAGACACAAGTGTTGGGGCATTTCGAAGCTGTTCTGTTCCTCTCAAGGTTGTAAAGAATTGATCAACCTCATTTTCAAATTAATTTACTAATTGTTTTTTGTTTACTTCTTGATTTCCTGTTCATAAGTAGCTTTCTCACCCAGAGTGCTATGGAGGCCTAGTTTTTACCAGTCCAAGGGCACTGGAAGCCATCAAAATATGTTTAAAAGAGAACAGTAAAAAAGAAGGTAAGTGCATATTTATATTCCTTGGTCTTCCTCTTTCAGTGTCTTGTGAAATCTGTATTTTATGGAGTTTCATTTCACCCACCAGTAGATGTTTGCAGCATGATTTTTTTAAAAACAGCTGTATCTTATAGTTCTGGTGGCATCCTAAAGGGCTCCTGGTGGATTGAGCTTTTAAGGGTTGGGTTTTCCACACTTGAAAATGAAAGGAAGGAGCCTTTGGTGCAAATTCCTGATTAGTAAGAGCTTTTCCACTTGTGGTTATCTCATGAACAAGGAATATTTTGCTGCAGTGCCTGGTGTATTCACTATTTTCCTCCCTTAAAGAGAAAATAATCTTATAAAACCTGGCCACTGCTTCTGTGCCTGCATAATTCGTATGAAATGTTACAGAAACAGAGATTTCTCTGTCTTGAATAAAAAAAAAACCCTCAAGTGAATGAATTATTAGCTTAAAAACAGAGCCTAAATACTCATACATGTGCCTAAATTTAAATTTATGTCTGAATCTCCCTTTGCACAGTGTCCTTTTTTTCCCTGCCAGTTCTGGCAAGTTTTTAATGCCAAAAATGAACATTGCAGGTTCAATGGGATCTGGCACAGGGGCAAAGTGTGCATTAAAAATGCTGTTTAACCAGAGCAGCCAAGAACTAGTTACTTAAATGAAGCTTTTAAAAACATGTTGTAGACTGCTGTTTACACAATGAAAAAATACATTAAAAATTCGTTTTGTGCATCCAGTGCTGCAAAATGCAGTGGGAATATCAGTTATTATTATTTTGCTGTATTTGTAGATTAAAAAGAAGTCCAAATAATTGTAAAAAAGCATTCATATATTTTGTTGCCACGTGCTTTAATTTAACTTAATTCAATGTTTTTCAGCCTGGTCAAAATCTCTTCAGCAAATGTGGAATATCAAACCGACATATGTGGTTGGAAAAGCTACAGCTTCTTTAGGTAAGCTGGGTTTAAAACAGAAATCTTAGGTAATATCTGGCTTTTAGTACAATTTTTTGGAATATTAGCTGGGTGCTCAGAAAAAAATACGAGTGAGTGTTCTAACTGAGTAATTTGGAAAACAGGTATTTTTATACCTGCCTTCTGGATTTCTGCTCCTTTTATTGCAAAGTGATGGTCACTAATGGAAAAAAATGGGTCAAAACAGGAAAAACACCCCTTTGTTCTTAATTTGCTTGTGTTTTTTTTCATTCTGTTTGGAAATCAAATTGGATGAGGGGGATTATAACCTGACTGAGACTGTGCACACACTCACCCTTTCAGCCCATATTTCTGTGACAGGAAATCTGAATTTTTCTCGTTGTTTTCAATGCTTTTCCCTGCTCCTTTTGGTTGCAGTAGAAGAAATTGGCCTCACCCCACAAGGAGAAAAGTGTGGGAATGCCGAAAAGTTGGCCGAGTATATTTGCTCAAGTAAGTAGCTAAAATGTTCTGGTTAAATTAAGGTTTCAGGGTTTCCTAAAGATAAAATCTAGTGCACAGTGAGACAGGAAAAATACCTGCTGCAAATACCTCTTGTGTGTAGGAGCTGTGAATTCAGCTGCTGGCTCTGAAACACAATAAAAAAATACCTCAAAATGAATATACAAGATATTAATTTATGTGAAATCTTAAACTCTGTAATTGATTAATCACATTATATGGGCCAGTAGGCAAAGTTTGTTTTTGCTGAAAGATCAGAGCTGTCATGGTTGGAAATTGCTGCTTAATCATAAGATTTAAATGCTGAATGAGCACATGGTTTCAGAGGGATCTGCTTTTGAGCACCAGAGAAGAGTGGTTTTGAAGAAGTTAAAATGGTGCTTGAAGTTTTGTTTAATCATTCTGTTGTGATTAGAGCTGTAATGCTGATCTTTGCTGCATCAAATTATCAGATTATTGGGTGATTTTTAAAGCCTTGTTAGCCCACTTCCTCCCCTTTTGTTTTTACTGTAATTTGTTAAAATTTCCAGTAGTTACAAGAAACATTTCTAGGCTTAGGGGCTGATTATTTTTGGAGTGGATGGGTCAGTACAAGCTGTGAAAAAAGAGGCTGTGTTTTTGTACAGATGCCAGAGAATTGATCAGCAAAGTCTGCACAGTAGCAGAGATTTATAGGTGAAAGGAAAATAGGATTGGGGCTGGCAAATATTGCTTTTCCTGGGCACAGTGTTCTCTAATTCACTGGAAAATAAAACATTTTAACTGTGTGGAGTATTTAATGATAACAGTCATAGTTGCCAGCACAAGATTGAATAATCAATTGTGAAAATTAAAAATTACACTTCACAATACAAAAAGGCCATAAGGGAGAACAACCCATCTCTCCTCTTCAGCAGATGCATTAAAGCAAAGAGAGGTTTTAGCTGATTTTTTTTAGTGCTACAAAATCTACTTCTGGCAATGAATTCAATGTTTGCCAGTTGGCAGGTGCAGGGATTCTTTTGAGGAGGAAGGCAAGAGAAATACCTGTTTGTTCTGTTGGAGGAATGTGAAAAAATTCAACCAAACAAATTGTTGGGGGCTGCTTGTTGTTGATACCTGTAATCATCCTCCAGGATTTATTGGATTGTGCATATTTGTGAGCTCTCCATTGGTTTGTAACAACCTCAGAAGTACAGATTCAATTCTATCATGCTCCCTGGTATTGTATATACTCATTTTTTTAGGCATAAAAGATGTAGATGAAAAGAACAGAATTTTTTATATCATTACAGTTTATTGTCAGAATAAAAGGAAAATCTGACGTAATGAGATTTTTTTGTTGTTTACCTTTTGTGCCTTTAAAAAATATTTCAACCTAAGGGACTGAGAAATAAAGGAATTAACTCTGTAACTGGCTCTACTCTTTTCAAGGCAAATATTTGGTTACAGAAGTGGGGAATGCCATTACTTGTTGTGTTGCTCAGGCCTAGTGAGGAATTTTTCTGTCCTTTGTAAACACAAGTCCCAAAGGATTTGTGGTTCTTTGCAGGTGTCATATTGACATTTCAGTTAACTGACAGGAGTTGCAGGAGAATTGACGCTGAAAAATAAGATGAAATCTTATTTTAAAACCTTTTGCATTCTGAGCTGAGTTTATCCTTCCTTCTATAATTTATGATGAGCATATCTATGTTTTCTAATAAAATTCAATGTGCAGGCAGGACAGTGAGGTGTATCTGTGATGACCCCTGGGAGGGTCTCTCCATTTGATTTTTCCTGTGCTGCCCTTTATTTTTTATCCCTGAGGAATCTCTGGTGCTCCATAAACCAAGAATCTCCTTCCAGCACTTAAAAGCATTTCTCTTACTGGTGAGGGTGTCTCAAACATGTATTAACAAATCTGAATTAGTGCTGAAGGGATGTGTTGAGGGCTTCCCATTTCTTTTGAAAGCTGAATGCAAAGCTGGAGCAGCTGTGGGGAATTTCACCTTGATATTTTCTCTGATTTTGTTATTTATAGAGAAGGCAAACTGGGTGAAAGTCTGCTGTTAAATTGCTAATTTGACAAAAGCCAGGGAGGATATCCCCTTCCATCCCAGCCAGTGGAACCAGAACCCTTTTTGACTTGGGGAAGTAAAGTAGAATTGCAGATAGATTGAAACTTTTCAGCTGAAAAAAAAAAATGTTCTGCCCTCTTCTTTGTCTGCCTGAATATTCTTTTATAGAGAGAGATCTGTCATATATTGAGTGGGACTGAGGTTTTAAATATAAAATTGAGGCAGATTGTGTTGAGGAGGAGGAGGAGATAAATTCCTTTGTGGAATGGCAGGGGGAATAGAAATGCAGTTTATCTTTGGGGAGATCTTTTTAGGCAAAGTATTCATATTCCAGCTATGGAATATTTTTAATGTACATGCTAAGTAGCCTCTGCCCTCTGAATTGGGGATGCAGCTGCACTGCAGATGTTTTGAGCTACCTTAGGGCTGTGTCTGTGGTGAGGCATTTGATAAATCAGCATTTGATACCTTTACAGTGTATCAAATGTACCGTGTTTACTCTTTTATTAAAGACCTGAGCTAATTAAAGTTCTCGTTTGTGTGTTTGCAGGAGAGAAACCGAATTCCTCAGCTCTCCTTTTTCCTTGTGGAGCCCTGAAAAGAGAAGTTCTCCCTACAGTGCTTAGAGAGAAAGGTTGAGCTTCCCCAGAGACTCCTTTTAATTAGTCAGGGATGAGAAAAGTTGCCTCTAAAGCTCGTGTGCCAGGTTTGAATAAGTGAAAATGGAACTTGCTGCTAAGTTGGCTGCAAGTTGGAGGATGGGAGTAAACACTGGGAGGGGTGGATGGCTGCCCACAGCTCTGGGCCATACAAATCCTTCAGGAAAATTTTTATCTCTCTTTTTAGCCTAAAATAATATGCTTCAGGGCAATTAGTATGTTGTGGGTGTTTAATTGAGATAATAGAAATTCAAGAAACCCCATTTAATCATGGCTGTGTGTCCTGGTTCCAGGCATACCTCTGGAGAGCCTGACTGTTTATCAAACTACCCAGCACCCTGATCTGCAGGAATCTTTGAGCAGTTACTTCTCACAGCAGGTACTGGACACTGATGGAGTTGGAGGGTTTTTTGGGGCATGTGACAATATTCTTCTTTTAGTGGTGAACTGAAATACCCCTGGACACCTTTGCTTTATATCACAAACCAGAATTCCAGTAGTAACCTGCCCTGCATGGTTTGTGTTCCTTCTCTGATTATCCAGTCTATGAATGCTTTACTGATCTCATTGTAAGTGTTAGAATTCCAACTGACATGCTGTTGGAAGGTGTATTGAGATGTGTTTGCCAGAATTATTAGTGGTTTTCCCTTTTTAAGAGCATTTAGTGAAGGTCATTCAGGAGCAGTGGGTGCATTGTAAAAATAGTGATGGCTTTAAATTTTTTCAGTATTGGATTTCTGAATTTTCCACTTGTAGGAGCCTCATGGAATTATGGAATTGTTTGGGTTGAGTGGAGCCTTACAGACCATCCCATTCCACCTCCTGCCATGGGCAGGGACACCTTCCACTAGCCCAGGTCCTGTCCAGCCTGGCCTTGGACACTTCCAGGGATGGGGCAGCCACAGCTCCTCTGGGCAACCTGTGCCAGGGCCTCACCAGGGGAACAGTTTCTTCCCAATATCCCATCTAACTCTGTCCTCTGGCAGTGGGAAGCCATTTCTCCTTGTCCAGTCCCTCCAGGACCTTGTCCAAAGTCCCTCTCCAGCTCTCTTGGTGCCCCTTTAGGTACTGGAAGGGACTCTTAAGGTCTGCCTGGAGCCTTCCAGGCTGAATTTGGCAGTTTTATTTGGCTGCAGCAGATTCCTGCTGCAATCCTAACTCAGTTTATTCTGGGAGTGCCAGCCCTTCCATGCAGTTCTAAGGCATCACCTTGTCTTTACCAGAGGATCTCAGGGCAGAGAGAACTTGGGGAACTTGTGACTAAGTTTTTGGTTACAGTCACTCCTGAATTTCAGCATTCTGTGGCAGGATGGGCTTTGGCAAGGCTGTCTGTGCCACAGGAATCCCTTTCTGCTGGCTTCACTGCAGTTTTCTCATCCATAAAACCCCTTTCCATCCACATGGAAGCAGCTGAAGGGATTTCTGTGACGAGGCACTGCTGGAACAGGGAGGGATCTGTGCAAACCTCTGCTTCCTTTCACTCAGGGAATCCCTGCAAGCATCGTGTTCTTCAGCCCATCTGGTGTCAAATTCTGCCTCCAGCATATTCAGAAGCTTTCAGGGGATGTGATCAACCATGTCAAGGTATCTTCTGTTAAAAATAGTGAAACACAAGAGAGGATAAATTTGGGGTGGGCAAGTGAGAGATAGGAAAGTTGTTTTCTCTTACTGAAGGTGGGAGGAGCTCTTGCTTGAACTTGGGCTGAAGCTGATTAAAATTCCTCTCACTTTTGCTGTTCTGAGGGACTAAGAGCTTTAAATGTTTGTAATGATGGGATAAATACGAATCTTTCCTAAGTAATTTCCGAGTAGCTCAACTGAGGGGTGGTTTTTAACACTGAAAATCATCCTGAATTGGTCAGTGGTGTTGAGGAAGCTCAGCTGTGTGAGTGGGGAAGTGGAAGGGCCCACACCTGAGTGGGGATGCTTTGCCTGAGCATTTCAACTGGAAATTTTTGTCATTCCAGTTCGCTGCCATCGGGCCAACAACTGCAGAGGCCCTGGAAGCTGCAGGGATCCCTGTGAGCTGCACTGCAGGGAGCCCCACTCCCCAGGACCTCGCCGTGGGGATCCACAAAGCCCTTCACCCCCAGAACTGCTCCTTACCCAAGTGAGAGCCCGGGGGGCCTGGGAAGGTGAACACGGTGCTGGAGGAGGGGTTTCCATTTGCAGATCTGTTGTTGTGCAAGAAGAGTGTTTTTCAGGAACACACAACACTCTAATCAGGGACTGGTGTGAGGAGGTTGCACCTAAATGTCTAAGAAACGTGGAACCTGCCCAGGAACTCTTAAAACATCCAACCATTCCCCTTTCCTCCTGTGAATGTGAGTGTTTTATCCTTGGAAAGCAGCTGTGAACACCTGTACCCTGAAATCAGTTCCTCACATCACCTCAGGTATCTCCCAGCGCTCAGGTCAGGTTTTAATTTCTCTGTATGATCAATTTTAAAGACATGTCTTCTTTTCAGTGAAGTATTTTCTTTTGTGAACCTGTTTCTTGTTCTGCTTTTTCAGATATTTATGTGAAAATGATGGCTGTAGATTCTCAGTGAGATGGGAGAGTTCTTGCAGTGAAGTTGCACTTTGTGGGGCTAATTCAGGTCAGCTGTTGCCCCTCAATGTCCTCACAGTATGGGGTCATAAAAATTAGGTTTGGCTTTCTGTTCCTGTAAAGAAGGAGGGTTTATTAACAGGGAAATAAACTGGCTTATCAGAGTTAATAATGGTGTTAGAGTTGTGTTTTGGATGTAGTTTATGCTTTGTTTATCTGTGAAACGGGAAAAATAATCCTATTTAGCACTAATGCCAAGGGATTCATAGAAGATTTAAATCATAATATACTCAATTATAATCCTCCTGAAAAAAAATGATCATTTGTGATGTTAGCAGAGTGCTGAGGTTCCTGGAATAACAGAGAAGCCTTTACTTGCCTTACAATCCTGTTATCTGAATTCTGAGGATGTGACCTGAGTTTCCAGCCAGGTGAGATGCTCCAGACCTGGAACAAGAGTTAATCTGAGCCCAGTCGTGCTCCTGCAAACTGAACTCGTTTCAGGTTGTGGGTTCATCAGTGCAGCTGCAGACAAGTGTTTGGCTTTATAAAGCAGTTCCATTTCTTGAGGTGAAATGGAATCTCAGAAGGAGAATCATGGAATAGTTGGGGCTGGAAGGGACCTTAAAGAAAGCTCATCTAGTTCCATGTGCATACATGTAAAAACTGTTTCTTCCTTTAAATAAAAGTGTTTTATGCTTTTATTATACAATAGTGAACCACATTTATTTGTAGAAGAACATCAGAACATCAGATGTTGTGTTTTTACAAACTTTGTATTTAAATAATGTGTATTTCAAAAAACCCAGAGTCCTCACATGCTGAGATAAGCCCCCACTCAGATTTTTTTCGGCCTTTCAAGTAGTTTTAATTCTCTTTTGATTTGCAGCTCTGATGAGGGTCATAACCAAGAAAAGACAGACTTGTGAGTTTATATTTAATAAATAAATTTTTATTTAAAAATATCCTCTCATTTATTCACAGTTTCAAGTCTGAAAAAAATAATACTATTCTTGATCAATTCCAACACAGCTGAAACCATTCACTTTCCAAAACAAAATCCCAGAGATGGCCCATAAATTTGCAAGAGTCACATCAAAGCTTGAAAGGCACAACGTTTTTGTGCAGGATCCTCACTGGAATAAAGTAGTGCATCCATATATTCCCCAGAAATTTCCCTGGCCTGACAAGAGCAGTTAAACTGTTCCAATGCAGCCTTGCTTACAAAATATATTTCATTAAATGCCAAACCAGAGCCGCTGTGAGGTTACATTTTTATGCAAAACGTGGATATCACTGCAAAGCCCATTCCTGTAAGAGAAAAATCATTAATTTCTCCATGGTGAAGAACAGGTAACATTTACATCCACAACTCCAACTGGGCATTTCAAACAAAGAAACGCCGGGAGCTGAACGAGTTTTGTTGGGATATAAAGTGTCCAATGTAACAACGTGGTGGTAACGTCACCACAATAAATAGAGATATCCCACGGGAACACAGCCCAGTGATCCCATGCAGCAAGGCACTGGTTCTGCTGCTCTGCAGGGCTGCAGTCACTGGATCCCCCCCTTGCTGCCCTCAGAATTGGGAGCCAGCTGCTCCAGTAAATTGAGGATGAGATCCGTGCGTTCCAGCAGGGTCAGGCCCTTGTTGGCAGTCGCCCGCAGGAGCAGGGAATAAACCTGCTTGTTTGTCTTCAGAACCACTTCTTCTTCATTAATGCCCCTGCAGAGAAAGGGAATAATACAAATTATTACCCTGGCCACCACAGTTACCCTGCAAATTATCAAGATCCCTATTAAATAACAACATTTGATGAGTATCCCTGTGGAACCTCATGGCTGGGGTTGTGCAATCTCCTATTTCCTCAGCCCCCCTATTTCCTGCTGTTTCTGCAGAACTGCAGTCAGAGCCTGCTCTTTATACTGCAGGAAGGAGCAGAAAATATAAATAAATATTATGTAATATAAACAAAACGTCCAGGCAGCAGTCAGGTTAATTGCAAGAACTTCAGGAATGACCGAGAAACATTGAAGCAAATTAAATTCATCTCCCGCCTGGCAGAAATCAGACAGGTTCATTTATTATACAGAGCAGGGAGTCAATAAAAAGCCACTGAAATGCAAAGTATTTCTGGGATAAGTTACAAGAATTCCCAGACAAAAAGTATTACTTTCAATTACTCTTCCCCTCCGAGTTGCACAGCCAAGTCCTGTTCTGCTCATGCATTTCACTTTGAGAGGGTAAAACTCTTGATTTCATCCGGTTTTACTGCCAGTCTGCAAGTTTTGCTATCAAACATTAATTTTCCCACGTGTCCTCCTCTGTCCTCTGCACTTGAGACCCTGAAGCAGCATCTGTGAGCATCAATTTCCTCCCTTTGCAGCCCATTATTAAGGCATAAAAACCAGACCTCATCTGCTGCAAAGCAAGAAGGGAGGAAAAGCACACAGGATGTACAGAAGGCACTGGAAAGGTTAAATCAAAGGTAGCTTTAAGCTTGGCCTCAGAGTTTCAAGAAGTTGAACACATTTTAACAGTCCCATTTCGCGACACTCAAACATGTTCCCTGTGTGGAACCTTCAGTACAAAACCCCACTCAAGACACAGTGATGACAAAGTAAATGATGGGGGGGGGGGGACCCTACAAACCAAAAAATGAGGGCTTTGTTTTACCACACTTAGCCCATGTTATGAGACCAGAGAACTAAACCAATGTACTCAGTCAGCTGGGACATCTGCTCAGCGACACACAAATCACCCTGCAATCCTCTGTGTTTCACATATTCACATTGCCACCTTGTGGGAGCTTCTTCAGGAGGTGAAAGCACCTGACACTGCCTAAACCACAACTAAGAACACACACAGGCTGCGTTCCCCTCATGTTTTCTGTTTACCACTCTCCCACGAGCAGCAGAATTAATTCATTTCACAGTTTACTTTTAGCAAAAACACCTCTTGCACCAACAGCACTTCAATTCCAAACACTATGAACTTCCAAGCCTAAAAGAATCCTCTAAAACTAATGCCCCATTTTCATAACTTAACTTTCATATAACCTTAGAAACAGCTCCTGCTCCCTCTCTTATTTCCAGCATTGCTGATGTGCCCACGTTTCTCCTCAAGGATTCTTCTTGCCAAACTGCACTGACATTTTATCACCAAGATACATGCAGAGATCAGCAGCACCCAGCAGGTGCTCTGTCCCACATGAAGCCCAATCTCAGCATGAAGGACACCACACACTGCACCTCATTCCCTGGACAAAGTTTGACTAAAATAAAAGATGGGAAGTGTGGCAGAAAAATCCCATCATTTGAAGTGCTATGTCTGTGAATTTATACCTAGGAGAGGATTTATATGCTCTAAAGGTTAAGTTAGGTATGAGTCACTGATGCTTTACCATGTTCTGTGATACCTGTTTTGTGCATTTCAGACCACATTTACAAGTTAATATTGTCCTATTTGAATAGAGCCATTCAAGTCTGACTTTTTTTGTCCTCAGTCCTGGACTGATACAAGGAAAGAGGAGAGAAAAAGCTTCCTAGACACACTCAGTAAAGATGTTTCTTGGCCATTCCCCCAATTACACACAAACCCACAGAAAACGTTCAATATTTAGATAATCAAGGCAAATCTCATCTCCTTCTCCATGCAGAAAGGTCATCTTCATAAAAGAATAAATATTACACTTCCCTAAAATTTAGGAGTACATGTTTTGTAGGGATTTGTGGATGACAATCACACCGACACACACGTACCAAGGTTGAACTTACCCAATCTTCTTTTTGGTTGAAGTTAACAATTTGATGGACTGGAGGAGAAGGAAGGACATCCTGGACTCAAAGATGCTGAGCAGTTTCAAGACTTCTTCCTTGTTCAGGCCCACAGAGGAGTCACTTGGTGACACACCCTCAGCAGGACTTTTGTCCTTGCTTATCTACAGGGAGAGGAACAACCAAAAACCATTTCACTGAACTCCACTGTTTAGACACAGGTATTGAGTCAGAAAACTCCACTTGCAGGTGAGCTGAGTGGTCAAATGGGGAAAATAGGGACTTAAATACTCCATGCTTTGCCCAAAATTGCCAGGAAGGGATAAACACACATCAGCAATTACTGCAAGTTATTACTGATGGAAGCATCAGGAACCTCTTCACACTGGCTACAGATACTCCTCTACATTTTAATAATTAAATATTAAATACTCTATAGAGATAGAACTCCCTTTTTTATTGCACATACATTCTGAAGTTCTTAGAGAAGACTTCTAAGGGATAACATGGGCCCTTTAAGGGATAATAAGAGTTGCACAGAATCCCATTTACAGCCAGTCAGTTTTAATCCATCTCTGGATCATGTTCTAGAAGGATTTTTTTTATCCACTTCCAGGCTAGGAGAGAACTGCAATAGATTTTAACCCTGTCCACACTATTTGAGCAACCAGCTCCGTGGAAAAGTAACCCAGGAATATTTTAACTGCCAAGTGATCAGTTTTTTGTGAATGCCAGAGCCAGAAGAAGGGAGCAGGTACCACAACACTTGAGGTTCCTTTACCTGTTCACTTTCTGCCACAAGCTCCTTCCTGATGAGCTGGAAAGCACCCTTGGTTTTGGTCATTATATCCAGGGCCCCAAAGAGAGTCTTTAATTTCCCAGCACTGCTGTTCTGACCTAAAAAAGGTAAAAATGAAGGACAAATAGCTTATGTTACAGCCTGTACTCTTCCTTCCACCCAGAGATTTCAAGAGCTCAGGAGAAAGGCACATAGTGTCCTAGTCAGCTGAAAACCAGCAAGATAAAAATGCCTTGTTTCCTGAGGAAAATTCTATTCCGAGCAGCAGATTACTCCTGCACTCATACACAATGTAGGTATTTAAAAATGAAACTAAGTAGGCAGTGGGGGGTTGGAAAGCTGCTGTTAAGGCAGAGCTACACTTACTGGCCATCTGGAATTCTGCAAAGGCCACTCTCTCCAGCTGCACACGCAGAAACTCACAGGGTGCATCCTTCAGGAGCTGGAAGAGTCGCACGGCTTTGCTGTAATGAAGATCAGCAAGGACACGGTGCTGCTTCCTCAGGTGTTCATCTCCAACCTGCACTCAGAGCAGGGCACAGAGTGAAGTCTTTATATTCACGATGCAACCACTAAAAAGCTGTTTTTGCAAACTG